TTTATTAGGGAAAGAAGTTAAAGAGTGGGAGAGGAAAAGAGTATCAACGAATACAAGTCTAGGTTTCAGCCCAAGTTCCAAGGTACAATTCCTCAATTAGTTCCAGCTCTGGTTTCAATTCAGTAGTCAAAATGCAATCATCCAGCAAGGTTTACCTCAGATCACTTATAAGTAATCTTCTCTTTCAAGCATCTGGCAAGAACAGCAAAAATCTTTAACTGTGGCCTTTATCTCAGGGCTCTGCTGCTTACATCTTGCCACAGTTTCTCTACAGCAATGCTACAGTCTCTCCACCACCATGACCAAGGTCTCTCTCTCACCAAGGTCTTGCTCTAATTTCCCTCAAGTCTTTCCACCAACAAGTCTTGCTCCCCTCAAGGTTTGCTACTCAGTATGGGAAGTACTCTTTCTCTTACCCTGCTCCCACAGCTGTTGATGATTTGCAGGATTTTGCGTCTGCAGTTAAGGTAGCTGGAGATCAGAGGGGGTTAACTGTAATGGCTAAAAAAATGCCGACTTTTGAACATGTAGATTGCTTTCGGTAGGACTGTCATTTTCACAATATTGAATCTTCCTATCCATGAACTAGCACATTTTCCCATTAATTTAAGTCTTTTGATGTGTCTTGTAGAAGTTTTCTGTAGTTTTCTTTGTACAGGTCTTTTGTGTCTCTAGTTAGATTCACTCTCAAGTATCTCAATTAGTGTTTGGCTATTGCAAATGGTATTACTTTCTTGGTTTCTTTCTCTGAGTTCTCTTTGTTACTGTAGAGGAATCACTCTGGTTTTTGGATATTGATCTTATATCCTGCCACTCTACTAAATTGGCCTACTAGCTCTAGTAGGTTTTTTGTTGTTATTGTTGTTAAGTCTTTGGGGTTTTCTGTGTACACTATCATATCATCTGAATATAGTTTAAACATCTCTTTGTGGATCTGGATGCCTTTTATTTCCTTCTCTTATTGTATTGTCCTAGCAAGTACTTCTAATACAATATTGAATAGAAGCAGTGACAGTGGGAATCCTTGTCTGGTCCCTATTCACAAGAAAATGCTTTTAGTCTTTCTCCATTGATAATGATACTGGCTCTTGGTTTTGCATATATACTATTCACTATTTTGAGGAAATTTCCTTTTATTCCAATTTTGCTGAGTGTCTCTTTGAATTTTGTGAAATGCCTTTTCTGCATCAATTGCTATGATCATATGGTTCTTGTTATTTGCATTGTTAATGTAATGTATTACATTGATTGTTTTTCTTATGTTGAACCACCCTTGCATACCTGTTATGAATCCAACTTGGTTATGATGAATTAATTTTTTTATGTGCTTTTGAATTCAATTGGCTATGTTTAACACAATCCCAATTCAGATACCAAATTTATTTTTCAAGGAGATTGAAAGGGAAATTTTCAAGTTTACTTAGAGAGGCATGACCTTGAATAAGCAAAGCATTTCTGAGAAAACAAAAATTAAGTGGGAGATGTAGCACTCCCTGACCTCAAAACCTACTACTCAGTGGTAGTAATCAAAAGAGCATGGTACTGGTACAATAACAGGCCCATAGATCCATGGAATAAAATTGAGAACCCAGAATTGGACCCATGTATCTATCTATGGTTAACTAATATTTGACAAGGAAATAAAACCTATCAAATGGGGAAATGACAACCTCTTCAACAAATGGTGCTGGCAAAATTGGACTGCTACCTTCAGAAAGCTGAAACAGGGTCCACATCTCACACCATACACAAAAATCAACTCAAGGTGGATCAGAGAACTGGGAGTAAAGTCCCAAACTATAAAGTTCCTAAGAGACAAACTGGGATCAGGCTTAGATGGCCTAGTCTCTGGTATAAAGATACTGACAAATACAGCCAGAAATAGTCTGGAGAGGATAAAATTGATGAAAGGGACTTTCTAAAGATTAAATCCCTGTGTGCATCAAAAATTTTTTCCAACAGGGTAAAAGAAAACTTAATGAGAAAAAAACATTTTGTAATACCATTTCAGACAAGGGTCTCATATTAAAAGTTTACAGAATACTAGAGGGCCTCTAAAAGGAAAAGACTGATGACACAATTACCAAATGGGCAAAAGACAAGGAAAGACTTTTCACAGAGGAAGATACTCGGTTGGCCAACAGACACTTGAAGAAATGCTCCAAATCACTGGCAATAAGAGAGATGAAAATCAAAACCACAATGAGATACCATCTCACTCCAGTAGCAATGGAAAAGTTTAACAGGACAGCAAGTAATAAATGTTGGAGAGGATGTTGCGAGATAGAACTCTTATACATTGTTGGTGAGATTGTAAAATGGTACAACCATTCTGGAAGGCATTTTGGTGTTTTCTCTGAAGGCTGAACAGAGACATTCTATATGACCCAGCTATTTTACTACTTGGAATATACCCCAAGAGAATGAGAACTGAGGCACAGAGACTTGTACATCAATCAATGTACACAGCAACATTATTCACCATTGCAAGAACATGGAAACAGCTCAAATGTTCAACCTCAATTGAATGGATTGAGAGAGTATAGTACATTCAAATGATACCATACTACGCAGCAATGCAGGAGCAATGATTTTGTAAATTATCTAACTTGGGAGGGACTGGAGAGCATTATGCTGAGCAAGCTAACTCAGTACAATTAGGACAAGTCCCTCCCAAGTTAGAAAATTTACAAACGACCAAGAAGACAAGGGGTTATGGTGAAATGTGCAAAGACTTGAAATTAGAAAACTTGGCACTTCTCAGGGTAAAAAGAGCTACAAGGATTTAATCCTCAAATGGTAATATCAAAGGATTTTATGGGTAACATACTTAACAATGCAGGAAGCATTAAAAGAATATATAGGAATATACTCATTACAAAAATCACTGGTCACCACCACTCAACCATTTCAGGAGGCAGCAGATGACCAAGAACTGATGACATTGAATAGAAAAGTTCAAGCTGCACTGAAGACACTGGTGAAAAATAAAGTTCCAGGAGTTGGAAGGATACCAACTGAGACATTTCAACAAATGACTGCAACCCTGGATCCTGATTGAAAGCAGAGAATATCAGAGGTATATTTACCTATGTTTCCTTGACAATGCAAAGACATTTGACTGTGTGGATTATAACAAATTATGAATGGTATTTCAAAGAATGCAATTCCAGACATTTAACTGTACTCAAGTGAAACTTATACAAAGACTAACAGGCAGCTGCTTGAATAGATAAAATGCATAGTTCATATCAGGAAAGGCATAGGCCAAGAGTGGAAAGATGCTTTCACTATTCTTATTCAATCTACACTCAATCTACACTCTGCAAGTAATTCAAGAAGCTAGGCTACATGAAGAAAAACTGGCATCACGACTGGAAGAAGAATCAGTAACAATTTGTGCTATGCAGCTGATATAACCATGCTGGAATCTCATGCATTCTGTTGATAAGGCTACAAACATTTGCCTCCATTTTCTGTTATGCATCAGCATGTTTAAACTAACAAAATCTGTAAGTCACTTTTGCACTGAAGAGCTCAAATCTTGGCCATGACTATAACTAAACTTTTCTTATAAGAGTACGATCTAGGAGCTCTGGTGGCCTAGTAGCAAGAAGCTGTACTGCTGTCGTGAAGGCACGCGGTTCAAATCCACAAGATGCTCCACTGGAGAAGAATGGGCAATCTCCTCCTGTGCTAGTCGGATTTGACTCAACAGTACACAGAAAAAAAACGAAATGAAAAGTTGTTTTTCTTTTTTAAAAGAGTACATTCTAAAAAAAAAAGTATGTTCTCATGTATTTTTCTTTAATCTAAAAGAGATTATCTAAAGGAGACGCTACAATTGTACATGGGACAACAGTGGCATTTTCAGTCACGAACTGGAATGAAAGAAGGATGTAGATTAGGAAAAACCATCAGATAGACTAGAGTTGAGGGCTGTTCACTACGTTCTAGTGCTGAGCTAAGAGAAAACCAGTAGACAAAGGGTTGGGTTTGAATCCTAGCTCCTCTGATATCTAGCTCCATCAGTCATTTTTGTTTTTGGAATCTCGATTTCACCAACTGTATATTGAATGATTCCACTTGTAGGATCTTACGGTGACAACTCTATAATCTCATATACTTGACTCCTCACTGTGACGGAGAGGGCTAGTGTGAAAACGGCTCAGATTAAAAGAATCAAGAAGAAAACTAGAATTCAGACACTCCTGTGTGATTATTCAGTTCTAGACTAAACTAAAAAGTAAGTTCAGAGTCTGAAATGCAGGACAGAAAAGAGAAAAGGAGGAGAGCTGTCATCTGCTAAGGTGATACAGAACAACTGTTATGCCTGCTGGGTTGCACCAGATAACTGTGTAGGAGTCTTTATTCCTTTCTTTCCTAATCCTTATCTACATGAGCACATGCATGAGAGAGTCACAGAAGGCTGGAAGTGCTTGTTTACTGCAGGTAGTTATTTTGATGGGTGTGCTGCCGTCCCAAGGGAAGAGAAAAACTGGGGGTGGAGAAGTAAGAAGTCAGGCCTAAAAGTTATTGCTTTGGTGGCTTCCTGATAGAACCACAGGATTCTAATTTGTGATTCTGAAACAGACCTTAATTAACAGGTGAAACATGTCCTACTTAACACATTGGTGCAGATAACAAGATCACAGCCATGAAGATGCACCCTTCCTTCTGCTGCACACCTCCCCTGCCTTTACCCCTTTAAGAGAGGGGGAGATGAAGTAAGGTCAACTTCTGGCTCCCAAAGTGATTGGACTTATGAGGGTTTAGTAAAGACTTTTTGTGTCAAACGATTTAAAAACCAGAGGAAAAAAAAACAAAACAAAAAACAAAAACCAGAGGAAGCTGTAGGGGAAAGGAAAAAAAAAAGTGTATGAGAACAACATTTCCTGCCAGAAGGATTTCCTGTTTTAGGCAACCGCATCGATGTGGTGAAACATCCAGCTTTGCAGCCACAGCCTGTGTTCCACTGGCCACTTCTCTGTTCGACTCACCCTTCCTCCCCGACAAACGTGACGTATAGCTTATTTCTCTGCAGGTCTTTTCTGGAGTAGCCCATAATCTGATTAAAAGCATCTTCTAGTAGGTGGTCTCTTCGGATAATTAACCTGTCAGTAAAGAGACAATTAGAAAAACAGGGGTTATTTCCTAGTCTTTACCTTTCTAGATTTTGGTGCTTCCTGTCTAATTTCAATTTACAACGAATTACACCAGAAGTGGCCTTACTTCATAGCATTGCTACCTGCAACAAAGGATTACACTGGTGTTTAACTTTTAACAGGAGCTTAACTTTTAGCATCATTATCAAAAGTCACTTAAGAGAATAACTGCTAAATAACGCAACCCATCTATGACCTACTAGCAACTCAAGAGTCTGCTTTAACAGGTTAAATCATTTCTTCTCATCAGGATAAAGTGCTATGGAGCAAAACACTTTTGTTTAGTAATAGGACAACCGCATGGGGTCATGTTCTAAGCCTGAATGCATTGAGACAAGGAATTCAATTACTAATTGTCCAGAGAGATGACTGTGAGATCAAGAAGACTACAAAAAAGTTTCAGTGCCCTGCAAAGCAGAGGTGTTTACAACCCCTGTTTAAGTCTAAATTGAATCTTGAGAATCTCTAAGTGACAGATACAAATGAACAACGCCTGCAACCAATGAATTCATTTGAGACAGACACAATTAAAGCCATCCTTCAAGAGACATCACTCTGCTCTTACTGCAAATAGTGATGGAAAGGAACATAATAGGGATGCTGAACGCAGGAAACTCGATCATTAACACCTTCATAAGCAAAACCACGAGAACGGTAAAGCTTAGAGTAGGATGTGTTTTAGACAAGTTGATTTTTTTTTCCAGGGCAATGTAAACGGAACTTGTGAATTAAACTGAGAAAGCCCTCCCATGTGGCATTGGCTATGAGGCCATCCACTGGCCTATGCATCTTAGACAGGTGCCAGGTTCAGGGCCAGGGTGCCCTCTCTCCTCTGGCCTCTCTCAGGTGGCACAGTGACACTCATGTTGTGGAGATGGAAGGTGGGAAGCAGCTGGCAGGAGTAGGGGATGAAAAGAAGGCCAATGTGATTATGTTTCAGTTTCCCCATTGAAAGGGAAGTGGATAAAGAGAAGCAGAAACAATATTCATGAGATACTCTCTTGAGCAAGTAGTTTTGTTTCATGAAACAAACAGAGCTGACCATGATTTCTATGTGTGGGTCAGTCCAAAGAACAGTAAATGTAATGTAGGATTCAGTGATTGATTTTCAAGGAAAATAGCTGTTGTTAAACTGATTCTGACCCTTCATGAACCTCCACTGGGTTTCTGAGGCTGTCTAATGAATATACTATACCCCAACAAAGAGACACTTTTCAGGAGAAAAAGAAAATCAACATTTTATTTTGCTCATATTTTATATGAAAAAATGTAATTAATATTTTCATATGAGAAAAGTAATGTCTCTATTGTATGTTTTAGAACCTTAAATTTAGTGTAGTTCTATTTAATAGCAAAACATCACTTTACAGGATCCTGTAATTTACAAATGTCAAAATAATTATCCTGATTAAATCAAAGACTGTTTATCCCAAATCACCATCACCCTCCTCAATTCCTGATCCCCTCTCAGCCTTCCATCATTTATACGTCACGTGGTTCACATCACTTTGACTTACTTTAATTTTCCTGGGCCTTGTCCATATCCTTTCGTCTCTAACTTCCTATAAAAGTTCCTCAGTTTGGCTTCAAAATCTCGCTTGTAAGGGGCGGGAGCTCGGGCATTGGCACGCTGAGTACCTACAGCAAACCACAAAAAAGAGGGCAGTCTGGATTTGTGTTGTGTCCAATATGCTCGTCACATCACTGTTTAAAAAAGTACGGCCATGGGTAGAAGATGATAATTAACAAGCAACAGAAAGCAGTGTTTTTAGCTTCTGTACTTTTCAACTCTCCAAGCCAAAAGATAGAAGAGAGTTAAACGAAGATTTTAAGAGATGTCTTCTTTGTGGCATGTTGGTTGACAATAATGTTCCTTTTTGAATAGTTATAATGGTGCTCATATGTTAGTCAAATATGTTCCCTTTTTCAGTCCAAACTATTATGAGTCAAACAGTTACTCATGTCTAATGGTAACTGTTCAGGGTGGAATATCTTTACTTGCTGGTGAGATGGTATCATGGCAGTGAGACAGGAAGTTAAATGTGAAGCATGTGGTGTACACAGGAAGGACAGTAAGTGCCTTTTAATTACTCTAAATTCCTCACTAAGAAAACGTCTTTTAATTTGTAGTCTTATAGTCAAAATGAAGTTAGGCATATAATTACATTTAATATTGGATATTTCATTCCTATTTCAAATAATCTTAGTATTAAACCAAAATTCAGATACTCATTTCCTGATTGGGTAAAGAGTCAAAAACAGTATTATTTATTACACATTCAGTATGTGTAAAGTGCTATAATCACAGACAGATTATCCAAAGATTTTTTGTTTTCTTTCTTTGTTTTTTTTATTTTTGAAACTTTTTATTTATTGCGTTTCTTACAAAGTTCGTATACATTGTGATTCAAATTGTTCTCCATTCACATCATCTTTCACACAATCATTCTCATGCATTATGTTTTATAAAATTAATCACCATTGAACCTTGCCCATCATTACCCCATCTTTTTACCCCAATCCTTCCCATTTCTTTCCTCCTCTCCATCCACCAAACTGTGCTACCCTGTGGTTTTGCCCCTACCCATCCTCAGTCCTCCCTCCCTCGAGTTCCCACACATGGGAAACTCCAATAAACTAAAACACAAAGATGTATTTTATGTTATTTAGTGGCAAGTATTACAATAAATGTGAAATAGCACTGAAGAGTCCAGCTTCTGTCACAAGGTGACTAACCAACAAGCCAGGACACAAAACTGATGATGAATCTAAGATTCAGACCCACAGTCATGATGAATACACTGGACATTTCCACTAAATATTTCCCAACATAATGAAAGAAGCCAGAAAACAAAAAAATCAGCTACTTCATGAACTGCATGTGGTGTCAGCACATTCAATATCTGTGGAACAAATGAGTCCATGGATTACATTTTTCTAAATTTCTTTTGTTGTTGGGGTTCAGGCTATACATCTCTGAGTATTTTCTACGTGGACTATACAGACATGGAGCACAACCTTAAGTTGTACAACCATTCTCATACTCTTTTTCTGAGTTGTTTCTCCCTCATTGGCATCAATGTCCTCTATCGTTCTAAATCTAATTTCTAAGTTGCTCTTGTCAGTTTAAGCCTCTCAAGAAAGTTTTCTATGGAGCATAATGCTAAAAAAAGGGCATTTCCCCCCCAGCTAACTTAAATTGTTTGTCGGTTTTAACATGACTTTAGGAGATTTTTTTTTTATGTTAAGGTCTAAAGATAATTGTAGAGGAATAGTTTCAGGGGTTCATTCACCCTCCATGGCTCCAGGAAGCCTAGAGTCCATGAGAGTTTTCTTTTGTATTATTCCGTTTTGCTCAGGATTCTTCTACGGAGTCACTGGTCAAAATGGGCAGTAATGGGGGCTGAGTATCAACCAGTACTTAGGCAAAGGAGGCAGATGTGTAAGGAGGCAATCAGTCACACATTCTATAACCTCCCCCTCCTCCTGACTTTTCTTGTCTCTCTATTGTTCCAGTGAATAGGGACCAACTGTATCTTAAAGAAACAATGATAAGCTTTTGAGACCCAAGAGGCACTGCACAAATAAGTGGGATGTAGAATGGAAGCACTTAAACATATTATTAAAGAAATCAACTGGTTATCTCATGTAATCATAACTCTAAACTTCACAACCAAAGAAGTGAATCCCAGGTTTTTTGCTGTGTATATGCAGCTTCAGCAGCAACCACCACCACCACCACCACCACCACTACCACAATTCACAACCAAGGAAGTGAATCTCAGGTGTTTCCACTGTATATACAAAGCAGCAACAACAACCACAACCATAATTCACACCAAAGAAGTGAATCCCAGGATTTTTGTTGTATATAATACACAGCTTCAGAAGCTCTTCCCTTTTTTTGGTCACTGATGTAAATATATCTACAAAGAAATTATTATTGGTTGCTAATACTGTATTAAAGAGTCCTGGTGGCTAAGCAATAAGTTATTGTGCTGTATAGGGTCAGCTATGCATCAGTTCCGACTTGAAGGGTGAACAACACTGCATTAGGTTTAGTCAGGGATGTTTTAAATGGATAAGGTAGGGTTTGTTGAGTTCATGTCTAAGACAGAAAGACATAATTGGCAATTTCCTCCCATGTGATTACACTGCCTCTGAAAACTTGTTGGTGAGTCAGCTATGGCTTGGTTCCAACTCACTGGTACACAACAACAACAACAACAACCAAACAATTAGAAAATTACCAACTCCTAAATTAGGTGATAAAACCTATAAAGCAGATGGGGCAAACTTATAGCCCTAGGGCTACATCAAGCCCAAATGATCTATTGCATTTGTTGTCACAATATATTTTTTTTTATTTTCTACTAGTTTATTTACAAAATTCGAATACTAATTTGAACAAATTCTTTCAATCTCCCTCACAGCCCCCCATCAAATTGTACAACCTGACGATTAATCCCCCCTCCCTCTGCACATCCACACGCCCCAGCTTCCAGCTGCTCCCACCCCTCTTGGATCCTTATACTCATTCTACAGTAATGGTTTTATACAATATTTATCCTTACGGAATTGAGTTAACTCACTCAGCATAAGGTTCACAATATTTTGAAAAGATTTTATATTAATTCTTAACATTTAAAAATTTGATAATTTCAAGTTAAAAAATAGTCAAGATTTTTCTTTTGAAGATTTGGGGAAACACGGCAATGTGCTTGCATGTCCCTGGGACTACAGATGAGAGCTGGACTTTGAAATGGGCACATGCTCTTTGCTGTACTATAGTCACTCACAGGTATCAGCTACCTAGGCCCGTAGGCACTTATGTCTATGAGTCATAGTCAATTCAACAGCACATAACAACTACAACAACAATGATGGCAGCTGAGCACTATGGCAGGGGAACACTGTTGGTATAGTCACAAGAAGCTGTGCAACAATCCCAAAAGCACGTGGTTCAAATCCACCAGCTGCTTCACAGCAGAAGGAAGGGCAGTCTCCTTCCATGTGATTAACTGCCTCTGAAAACCCCTCAAAGGGTCAGCTATGGGTTGGTTCTGACTTGATGGCACATAGCACCACCATATAATAAGGTGTGACTATATAATATATTGTATTGTATGTTGAGTCAGAACCAACTCAGAGCTGACACTCCAGTTGGGGTTTAGAAGCTATAAATTGCATGGGAGGAGATTGCCTACACTTCTCCTGTGGAGCAGTCAGTGGATCTGAAGCAACTGTCTTAGGTTTGCAGTGCAATGTCTTGCCCACTAGGTCACCAGAGCCCCCTATTACATGTTGTGAATTATTATATGATTTTTACTATAATATGAAAACAATAGTAAATGAATCTAAATAGAGAACAACTTAAAGAAGATCCTAGAGAGAACGCCCCATTGGAACCAGAGTTTGTAAGAGGAGATGCTGTACCTTCTGTAGATGCCACATTATCCACGTGGGGAAAAGGTGGTCCCTGGAGAAGGGACTGGTAAGAATCGAGCTGAGCACTGTTTATGTACTCGGAAGGTCGTGAGGGACCGGTGAACCTACAACAGGACTAAAGGCAATGCTGAGGAGTTAATGGGAGCTAACTAGTCATAAAGCTTAGAGCCAAATGATAAGAGCCAAATAGAACTAGCTGAGGAGTCTGGACATGACAGAGGGCAGTGAAGAGCTTTAATATGTTCTTGAGCAAGGGAACAACATGAAAGTGCTGTATTTGGGAAATTATTTGCACAGCGTGTTGAACAGACTAAGGGTGGGAACGATGAAAGGTGGGAGGAGATGATCTCGGAATTGTTGCAGCAATCCAGGCCTGAGGGGATGAGGACCAGACTGGAGTGAGAGGGTGACTCAGAGAGACATAAAAGGAAATAAGAAGTGGCAGTGGAATCAACAGAGAAGCTGAAGAGCTCTGATAACACATATACAGATATTTAAACAGTCACAATAGGCGCCCTCTTTAAAGGGCTTCTCATGCATTAGAGTGGGAGCATTTACTTGGCAGACCTGGGAGGTTCTCACAAGGAACCTAGGAAGCCGATATTTAGTATTATTATCAAGTATCACAAGGAAACTGAAAGTTGTGGTTTCTAGTCCAAGTCACAGGGATGTACACAGATTTGGGATGTGTGCCAGGATTACCTGATGCTAAAAAACAGTATGAGAAATAATGCTGCCGGGTAGGGCAATTTGGAGTTTTAAACATCTGAGCTGGAGGTGATAAGAGGTCAGGGCAGGCAGCTGCTGCATGTACACTTGGGGTTACAGCACTGGAGTGAAGGTGAGAGATGAGAGCCACACCTGCAGATTAAGAGTGAATGTGCACACGGCACTTAGAGCAGTGCTCGTCATATAAGGAGTGACATCATCAGTGGTGGCAGTTACTGTTATCCAAGGAGGTAAAGAATCAAGACCCTGGAGGGCGTGATATGATTTATAGGAATAGATTTTTATGTAACTGGCCATAGGTCAATTATCTGTGCAAAGGTTGCCTTGGATAGTTGTGATTCTGATCCAAAAGGGCTGGCCAGTGTTGTAAATAAGATAAATAAACTTGACTCTGGTAGTTGGGCAAAGTGGAAGAGACCTCTAGGTAGTGGGTCTCAGTCTTGACTGCACAGTGGAATCAC